CTGTGAGCAGAGATTGCACCACTGCACTCCAGCCTGCACAACAAGAACGAAATCCATCGCAAAAAAAAAAAAAAATTAGCTGGGTGTGATGGCAGATGCCTGTAATCCCAGCTATTGGCAGGCTGAGGAAGGAGAACTGCATTAACCCAGAAGGTGGAGGTTGCAGTGAGCCGAGATCATGCCACTGCATTCCAGCCTGGGCAATAGCGTAGGACTCCCTCTCCAAAAAAAAAAAAAAAAAGAGGTCAGGTGTGGGGTCTCATGCTTCTAACCCCAGCACTTTGGGAGGCTGAGTCAGGTAGATCACCTTAGGTCAGGAGTTCAAGACCAGCCTAGCCAACATGGTGAAACCCCTGTCTCTACTAAAAATACAAAAAAATTAGCCAGACATGGTGGCAGATGCCTGTAATCCCAGCTACTCAGGAGGCTGATGCAGAAGAATCACTTAAACCTGGGAGGCAGAGGCTGCAGGGAGCCAAGATCACACCACTGCACTCCAGCCTGGGCAACAGGGCGAGACTCCATCTTGAAAGGAAAAGAGAAGAAAAGAAAAGGAAAAAGAAAAAGATCAACCAGGTATGGCAGCACACGCCTGCAGTCCCAGCTACTATTCGGGGGGCTGAGGCAGAAGAATCACCCAAGCCTGGGAGGTCGAGGATGCCGAGAACTATGACTCCAGCCTGGGCAACAGAGTAAGACCCTGTCTCAAGGAAAAAAAAAAAAAAAAAAAAGGACCAAACTGGACTTCTCAAGTACAACAATGAAAACTAAAAGATACTCGAGCCGTGACTTCAAAATTACTTCCAACCTAGAATTTCATACTAGCCAAACTTATTAAGTGTACTGGTAGAATAAATACATTTGCTGCCAGCCGCAGTGGCTCATGCCTGTAATACCAGCACTTTGGGAGGCTGAGGCGGGCGGATCACCTGAGGTCAGGAATTCAAGATCACTCTGGCCAACATGGTGAAACCCCATCCCTACTAAAAATACAAAAATTAGCCAGGTGTGGTAGTGAGCACCTATAATTCCAGCTACTCTGGAGGCTGAGGCAGGAGAATCACTTGAACTCAGGAGGTGGAGGTTGCAGTGAGCTGAGACTGCACCACCGCACTCCAACCTGGGCGACAAAGCAAAACTCTTGACTCAAAATTTAAAAAAAAGTAAATACATTTTTAGACATGTAAACCCCAAAAGTTTTCCACTTATCAGCCCTTCCTGGCCAGCTACTGGAGAATGTGTTCTATCACCGGGAGGGAGTAAACAGTGAGCAGCATCAGATGCAGGGAAAGGGACCAGGCCAGAGAACAGGTACTCTTTTGCATTTTGTTTTGTTTTGTTTTTTTTTTTTGAGACAGAGTTTCCCTCTATCACCCCGGCTGTAAGGCAGCAACACGATCACAGCTCACTGCACCCTTGACTTTCCGGCATCAAGGGATCCTCCCACCTCAGCCACTCAAGTAGCTGGAACTATAGGCACATACCATCACCACGCCTGGCTAACGTTTTTATTTCTAGTAGAGACAAAAATCTCACTACATTGCCCAGGCTGGTCTCAAACTTCTGGGCTCAAGGGATCCTCTCACCTCAGCTGCCCAAAGTACTGGGATTACAGGCGTCAGCTGCTGGCCCTGGCGAAAAACATGCATTCTGACTGGGGCAGGATGAACATAAGAGAACAAAAATCTCTACATCTTACACTGGTCCACCATTAGTGGAAGTCCACAGACAACCCCTAAAACTGGTGAATGAAGACATGACAACAGAAACATATAAATAAAAACATGAAGTAAATGCTCAAGAGCTGCAAGTGACTACTGCCCCTCCGGAAGGACAAGAGACGATCAGCCTGGGGCGGCGGCTCACACCTGTAATCCCAGCACTTTGGGAGGCTGAGGTGGGCAGATCACTTGAGGTCAGGAGTTCAAAACAAGCCTGGCCAACGTGGTAAAACCCCGTCTCTACTAAAAATACAATAATTAGCCAGGTGTCGTGGCAGGTGCCCATAATCCCAGCTACTCAGAGGCTGAGGCACAAGAATTGCTTGAATCCAGGAGGTGGAGGTTGCAGTGAGCTGAGATTTCACCACTGCACTGCAGCCTGACCAATCAAGACTCAGTCTCAAAAAAAAAAAAAAAAGACAGGAGATGAGAGCAGCTTTTTTAAAAGTCTTTTAGCACCAAATATTTTTTAAACTGTCAGTGCCTGTATTACTTTAAAAAAACAAAAATAAGGAAGAGCTACATAGTAGCCACCCTGCTAAAAAAATCACAGCACTTGCCTGAGAAGGCCTTCCTGTTGGAAGGTAACATTTGGCTGAAACAAAAGCTTCAAGTCAAAGTGACCCTGGGATCTGATCCTCAGTGACCCTGCACATACTTAAACCCTAAGAAGCCCCACTTACTAACTAACCCACAAATGGGGAATGGAGGATGTATTCAACTACCTCAGTAGTTTTTTTGTCTTTTTTTTCCCGAGACAGTCTCTCACTCTGTAACCCAGGCTGCAACTATAGGCACGCACCATGATGCCGGGTAATTTTTGTATTTTCAGTGGAAATGGGGTTTCACCATGTTGGCCAGGCTGGTCTCGAACTCCTGACCTCAAGTGATCTGCTCGCCTCAGCCTCCTAAAGTGGTGGGATTAAAGGTGTGAGCCTCCGTGCCTGGCCATTTCATTTTGGTGTGAAAAAGTATTGACTGTCTTTGTAAATCAAGGAAAAGAAAGAACAAAAATGAAGCCAGGTAAGTTTCCAGTGTCAGCTTTATTACCTTAATCATTCGGCAAGTAATGAACTCTGACCCAAGAATCACTTCCCAGGTTTAGTGACAACAATGATCCCATGCCTACCTACTGTCCAGGAGGCCAGAGGTGCTGCCCTGCACACGGGCCCCCTCACCTTCTCACACACCTTGATGATAAGCCCTTAGAATCGCGAATCTAAAAACAGAGCTTTGATTAATCTAAAATGACCATCACAGATATAACACATGTTTAGCAAGCACCAGCTCTGGAATCATCTTCTTGGCCACAAGCTCTGCCATCTTGAGCCTCACTGTGCCTGTTTTCTCATTTATAAATAGAGAAATAACAATACCTACCTCTTAAGGTTGCTGCAAGGCTGAAATTAGCGAATTCATGCAACGCACTATGGCAGGGCTGGACACAAGTAAGGGCCCGATAACACAGGCTGTCATTACCATCAGCTCTGTCAAGCCCTCTACTCAAGGCTGCCTACGAAAACAGAGACATCTGGAGCCATTTGCTCATCCATCATTTATTAAACACCTACTACGTGCCCAACACTGCACGAGTGCTAGTCCTACCACTGACTGGCCAAGTTATCGAATACTGCCTCCTCTGCTAAACAGGAAACAGGCCGGGCACGGTGGCTCATGTCTGTAATCCTAGCACCTTGAGAGGCTGAGGCAGGCAGATCGCCTGAGTCCAAAAGTTCAAGACCAGCCTGGACAACATGGTGAAACCCCGGTCTCTACAAAAAATGCAAATGTGTGGTATGGTGGCACCTGCCTGTAGTCCCAGCTACTTGGGGGAATGAGGTGGGAGAATCCCTTGAGCCTGGGTGGTCGAGGCAGCAGTGAGCTGTGATCATGCCTCTGCACTCCAGCCTGGGTGACAAAGAGAGATCCTGTCTCCAAAAAAAAAAAAAAGAAATAACAGCACCTGCTGCACAGGTTGGAGAAAACTAAGTGGGTAAGTGAGACAATTGATCTAAAGGTCTTGCAGTGTGTGGGATCCAGTGGGCGCCTCGTAAATGACACCATTCATCACTACACGTCTTCTTCCGTACAAGCCTGGAAGGCACTTGAAGTTTTCCAATTTCCCTTTTTGTTCTCAGTGCCTAATACTCATTCCTTGAATGCTGCAGGTATTCAACTCCTGGCTCTGAATTTAACAATAACCCTGCACCTTGCCAATTTACTTATTTCCACACCCCCGAAAAACTGCAGGAAAAAAATAAACAAAAAGGCCATACGTTACCTGAGTTAAAACACACCGTTACGTCTAGGCACCAGATACTGCAGAGCTTCTTACTACACCTTAACTTTCTAAGCTTTAGAAGTCTCAACTGTTATTACACAGTTCTAGGCCAGCACTTTTCTCCAAAGCGGCCCCTCATTCCGGCCCTGAGCTCACACTGCTTATGCATTTTCATGAACACAGCATCTCCTGCTTGGTTTTCCCTCGGAGGAAAGCCTGTGGTCCCCTTGCAAGACTTTTATCTCTACGCGGCTTCCTTTCCCAAGCACGGAAACAAACTATCCCTGAGAATGAGCACGGGGAAGGCCAAGGCCATTAACAAAAGAATGCGAACTTTCCGCGTCGAGAGCGCGTTCAAGCTGCGGGTTCGGAGACAAACTTGGGTCCGCAGGCGTCCCCGCGAGCGAGCTCTCCCGCTTCTGACAGCCGGCGGGGCCGGAGCAGCATTGTCTGCGGAGAACGCGCCGGGACCGGCCAACTTTTCGTTAAAGATGGTGCCATCCGACTCGGAACAAAGTGAAAGGTCACCGGAGCGAAGGCAGACTCCAGGAGGAGGGACGCGGCGCCGCGGCCGGCGCTCCGAAGTTGGCCGGCCCCGCTACTTTTCCTTTTGTCCTCCGCACCTCCCCGGCGCCCGGGCCGAGGCCCTCCCCGCACATCGGGCTCGCGGGCGGCGGCGGCGGCGCGGGGTCCACGGGGGGCGCGGGCGCAGGTACGCGGCCGCCTCCCTCACCTGCGCCCCCGCCCGTGCCCCCCGTCGCCGCCCGGCCCGCGCCGCGCACAAAGCGCACCCGGCGGGAGCGCGGGCCGGACGCCCGGCGGCCTCGGCCCGGCCTCGGCCTGAGGCGGCGGCGGCGGCGGCAGGCGGCGGCGGGGGGGCGCCGGGCCCCGCCCGCCCGCCGGCCGCCCGCCGCCGCCCCGTCCGGTTCTTCGCCCCCGCGCCGCCTCCACCGCCGCCTGCCGCCCCCGCGCCGCCCCCCGCCGGCCCCACTCCTCACCTCGGCATCGGCGGCGGCCATGGCCCGGGCCCGCAGCGTGGCCCCGCCCCTCCCGCGCGCCATCGCCCCGCCCGCGCCTCGCGGCCCAGAGTCGGGGCGGGGCCGATCGCCCGCGTCTGCGCCTGCGTCTGCGCCTGCGCCTGCGCGTTGGGGCTCGGCCGGCGCGGCGCCTGCGCACTGAAACCGGGCGTGCGGCGCCCCAGGCGCCGGCCTGCGGCGGCCGGAACCGAAACGCGCGCCCGCGGGGTGGGAGACCCGGCGCCGGAGAACCAGCCCGCCGGAGTTGGAGTCGTGGGCGGGGAGTAGACTTCCTATTTCCAACCCACATTTCACAGTAAATTGACGTCTGGTGGGCTGGCCGAAGGTGGAGGAAGACCCGCGGCCCCGAACTCTGACCTCTGACCCCTGACGCGCTGTGATTTCGCCGGCGTGCTCTGACGGCGGATTCCCCGAGCCGCTGCCCGGCGGGGTCTCCCCGGCGCGGCAGGGAGCTGTGGTTCCGGCAGGTTCCCGTTGCGGCAGGGGTCCCCCGGTCGGGAGGATGCCCCTGCGGCTGGAGGTGTGTCCCGAACGGCGGGGCTGCCCGGTGAGGAGCTGCCTGGCGGGGAGCGGCTCGGGCCAAGCGGGGTGCTCCGCTACGAGGATGCGTCTTGCTGGGGGCGAGGTCCCGACCGGGAGAGTCGCCCCGATGCGAGAGGTGCCGCGGTTGTGGCGATGCCAACTCGAGGGGTGCTCCAGTTACGGGGTGTGCCCTCTCTGGTTCCCCCAAGCTCCCTGCCACTCATGCCGGCTGCCCGGGTATCCACAGCCAAGGCCTTGGAAGCAGACCGAGGAGCCTTCCCTGGACAGCGTCCCCGGCACCGCAGAAACCGTCTTAGGCTACATGCCCCGCTAGGGTCAGACCTCCTTATCCCAGCCCCAGCACCCCACACAAGAAGCACGGACTGAAGCTGAGGCTTCTGGATGGTCGCGTGAACCGAGGGGCTGGGTACTGTTCTGAGAACTGAGCCTCGAAGGTCAACCCGGGTGAGACGTGAGTGTCGTGGGTGAGTCGGACTCCAGTGAGCAAGATCGCACCACTGCACTCCAGCCTGGGCTGTAGAGCGAGACTCTGTCTCAAAAAAAAAAAAAAAAAGGCCGGGCGCGGTGGCTCAAGCCTGTAATCCCAGCACTTTGGGAGGCCGAGGCGGGTGGATCACGAGGTCAAGAGATCGAGACCAACCTGGTCAACACGGTGAAACCCCGTCTCTACTAAAAATACAAAACATTAGCTGGGCATGGTGGCGCGTGCCTGTAATCCCAGCTACTCAGGAGGCTGAGGCAGGAGAATTGCCTGAACCCAGGAGGCGGAGGTTGCGGTGAGCCGAGATCGCGCCATTGCACTCCAGCCTGGGTAACAAGAGCGAAACTCCGTCTCAAAAAAAAAAAAAAAAAAAAAAAAAAAAATAACAAAAATCCTTTACCAAGCAAACATCTCCATAACCTAATGTGTCGGAAGCAAGCCTCAGGCAGCCTTTTCACTCCCTTTTTGCAGTCAGCTGCTCCCCTTGTGTGCCACTGACCACTTCCGTCAAGGTGCTGCTCTCAGCACGTGACATGTTAGCATTCAAACTTCAGGTCAGTCCTGAGAGGCAGGCATTGTTCTTGCCCATATTTTACAAGTGACTGAACTGAGACAAGGGAGTGGTGAGAGGCAGAGATGGGATTCAAGCCCAGGAACATCTTCTTTCAACCACAGACTGCACTGCTTCCAGCAGGCACTTGAGTGATTGTCCCGCCTGCGGCACACTTTCTCTGTTCAGTGTTCATACTGCCCGTCCCACAATTAGTAAAATTTTAGCCAAGTACAGGACTGCCTGGCTGAAGATGACATTTCCTACGGGAAGGTGACAGGTCAGGGACACAAAGTGACAATCCACTTCCCAGTCTGTCCCTCAAAAGTCCCAACATTAGGCTGGGCAGTTGTGAAAGCTGTAACAGCCACCTGGGAGCCAGGGATGGGAGCCACCATATAGGAATGACAGCTGTGCCACAAGGCCAGGATCTGCTCCCCTCTGGACTGTTCAAGAAATAAACTGTGGGCTGGGTGTGGTGGCTCACACCTGTAATCCTAGCACTTTGGGAGGCTGAGGTGGGTGGATCACCTGAGGTCAGGAGTTCAAGACCAGCCTGGCCATCACGATGAAACCCCATCTTTATTTAAAAAAAAAAAAAAAAAAAAGGCCGGGCGCAGTGGCTCACGCCTGTAATCCCAGCACTTTGGGGGGCCGAAGTGGGTGGATCACGAGATCAAGAGATCGAGACCATCCTGGTCAATATGGTGAAACCCAGTCTTTACGAAAAATACAAAAAATTAGCTGGGCATGGTGGCGCGTGCCTGTAATCCCAGCTACTCAGGAGGCTGAGGCAGGAGAATTGCCTGAACCCAGGAGGTGAAGGTTGCGGTGAGCCAAGATCACGCCACTGCACTCCAGCCTGGGTAACAAGTGTGAAACTCCTTCTCAAAAAAAAAAAAAAAAAAAAAAAAAAAATGATGTCTGGCTCTGTTGCCCAGGCTGGAGTGCAGTGGAACGATCTTGGCTCACTGCAACCTCTGCCTCCCCAGTTCAAGCAATTCTCCTGCCTCAGCCTCCCGAGTAGCTGGGACTGTAGATGTGTGCCAGCACACCTGGCTAATTTTCATATTTTTAGTAGAGACGAGGTTTCACCATATTGGTCAGGATGATCTTGAACTCCTGACCTCATGATCCGCCCACCTTGGCCTCCCAAAGTGCTGGGATTACAGGTGTGAGCCACTGCACCCGGCTATTTTTATTTTTTGAGGCAGAGTCTCACTCTGTCACCCAGGCTGGAGTACAGTGGCATGATCTCAGCTCAGTGCAACCTCTGCCTCCCAGGTTCAAGCGGTTCTCCAACCTCAGCCTCCCAAGTAGCTGGGATTACAGGCATGTGCCACAATGCCCAGATTTTTTTTTTTTTGAATTTTTAGTACAGAGTTTCACTCTCTTGGGCAGGCTGATCTGGAACTCCTGACATCAAGTGATCCACCTGCCTCAGCCTCCCAAAGGGCTGGGATTACAGGCAGGAGCCACTGTGCCTGGCCTGGTGACTGACAACCTAGCCACAGCCACCCCTTCGCCCTACAGAACTGGAATTTGAACCCAGAGTACTTCTTCACCCCACCACCACCTCCATTGTTTCTGGAAGTGCCCTCCAGGCAGGCCAGACATTCCTCCCTTGGGGTTGGAACATCTTCGGGATGCCCCTTTGGGAAATGCTGCTCCACAGAACCCTGCCTTTCAGGCTTTAGAGATGTGGGCCAAGAGAAGCAGCCTCCCCCAGAGCCAGGCCTGGCAGTGGTGCCAGCAGGGACCGAGGCCCAGGGAGAGCAGGGTCTCCCCTTAGAGGGACCTGGGCAAGCCCCTCCCCATGTCTGCAGGTTTCTCTGTGTGGGAGGTCCACACGGCGCTGCCAGGGAACATGGGCACAGAAATGCAACAGGAGCCGAGGCCCAAACATTTTAACCAAATGCCAAGGCTGCGTGAGGCCCCAGTTGAAGAGAGCTCGGAGGGTGCATCCTTTGGCAGCTCTGGAAAGCCCAGCGTCAGCTCCCGTCCTCTGTTAAAGGGAACCAGCCCCACAGCTCCACCTGGGCTGGGCCCACACACGGCACCCTGAACACGACCCCAGGGTAGTGGGGGGTGCCGGAGGAACGGGGTGCACCCTGGCAGGAGCCAAGGGTGGGGTTAGGGTCAGGCCCCGCCAGAGGCTGGAGGGCACCCAAGGCAAGGCAGGTGAGGCCCAGCTCTACAAATCAAGTGCTTTTTATTTACAGAAGTCATCTCTCCAGGTCCCAGCTCCCTGCCACCCCCACCCCAGCCCCAGGGAGAAGAGGGTGGACGCCAGGGGAGCTGGCAGAGGCTGGGCTGGTCCTGAGTGGGCCAGGCCAGGCCAGGAGAGAAGGCACGAGGCCCTGGGTGCCCCAGTCCCAGGGCAGAGGCCAGGCCTGCCGGGAGAAGGCAGCACGGGGTCAGCTCTCAGGGGTCAGGCTGTGGTCCACGTCGCCGCAGCTCTGCTCATAGGACGGTGGGGCCTCTGCAGGGAGAAAGCTGGGTCTGCATGGGGCTCCTGGCGTCCCCTCCCTGCCAGCCCTGGCCCTCAACTCACCATAGGGGTAGCCCCATGAGCTGTACTCCGGAGGAAGAATCAAGGTGCTAGTGGTGGGCACTGGCCCCCCAGAGCCCTCAGCGAAGTAGGGGACAGTGGCACCTGTTGAAATGCACAAGGGAGGGTGCAGCGGGTGTGGGGCAGGGCTGCCATCCTGAGGACCAGGCGCAGGCGCGCCAGGCACAGAACCCAAGGTGCCCAGCGGGGGCTGCTGCTGCGAGTGGCTCTTGGTGGAAAGGGAGACTGGGTCCAAGAAGTGGGGGCCACCAGCCGCAGCTTCTGCCTCCTCCTGGGGTGGTGCAGAAGGCACCACCAGGGCTGGGACCCCGGGAGGCAGCCCCAGGCCTGGCCCAGGGCTCAGTGGGGCATGGTTCACAGCAATATTGCCAATGAAGACCGGGAGGGTCACTGTAGCTTCTGGCGCCTTCAGAGAGACCTGGACAGGATTGAGGTGGAGCATGAAGGGCTACGGCCACAGCCACAAGGCCTCAGGCCGCCCAGCCCCCAACACCAGACCTGTAGGTAGTAGTCAATGTGGATGAGGCTGCAGCCTGGCAGGGCCGACTGGGGCAAGGCGGGCACCAGGATCTGTTCGTGCCACTGTGCCCGCCGCCAGGCCTTGACGCCCGCTCCCTCCACCTCGGCAATGGTCCGCACATCATGGATCCAGCGCTTGGCCTTATAGGACACTTTCTGGGGAAGGACCAGCCTGTGAGCCCGGGCAGGCCACCAGCCCACCCCAGGAGGCCAGTCCAGGCAACTGCCGGGGGCTCTGACCTGCAGCAGACTGGCCACCACAGGGCTGGTGTCCTTGCCCGACTGGTTCTCAATGTCGGCGTGCAGCCGCAGTGCCTGCCCCACCACGTAGCCGCGGAGGTCAGTGCTGGCTGTGAGGACCACGCTGCCTGTCTTCACCAGCTTGTAGGAGAACTTCTTGGTGGCAGAGGCCACATTGGGTTGCTTGAGGGGAGGGTCAGGGAGGAGCTTAGCAGGTGTGGACAGACTGGATCCCTGTGGCATCGGGACAAGCCCCTCAGCCCTGCCATGCCCTGCCCCTGGACATGAGCAGTCCGCTGAGGGCAGAGAGGCCACTGTCTCCAGACCCCGGCCCCCTCACCTGAGCTGGGGACAGGACACGGGGATAAAGCAGTGCCTGCCTGGCTCCTCCCCAGCCCCCATGTGGGTGGGGACCACCAAGGGGGCCGCTGTGCCATCCTCACCTCAATGTCTGGGATGCTGTTCAGATTCAGGGGGCTCAAGATATAGAACACGAGGCTGCAGTTGTGATCCTTGGAAAACCGTGGCGTGTGGATGGCAGCCCTCACCTGGTGCACGATCTTCCCAAAAGGACCCTCAAAGGATGTGGGTGCTGTGGCTGGGGAGAGAGCAGGCACTGGCACCTGGCTGCCTCCCACCCTGCAGAGCCCACCTCCCAGGACCAGTTGGTCATCACCAGGCCTGTCCAGGCTGGGCTCTCACCAGGAAGCAGGAACTGGAAAGGGAAGCTGTGCTCTCCAGCGGACAGGCTCCCTGCAGAGACAGGAGGGACGTGGGGGGCGGTGGGGACAGGCCTCAAGAGGCCTGAGGTGACCACAGGGCCAGGATAGGACGGCACTGCATCTGACCCGCTCACACTGCAGCTCACTGCTGCTGGGTCTCCCTGTCTCTGTCACCAGCACCACAGCAGCACAGGGCTGTGGCCTGGGTGAAGACTGAGGATAAGAGTTTCGTTTCAACAGGAACTCTCCTGCTCTGGGGATGAGGCAAGGGTGAAACCGCTGTGCCAGGGGTCAGAGCCCACCCAAATCCAGCACAAAGAGAAGGTGGCCCCTTCACCACCCAGCCCATGAGAAAGCCATCAGGGACCACACCCCTGGGGAAAGATGGGCCACTGCAGGATCCAAGAGGCAGATTAGTAAGGGGGACACACAGGCCTCACCCCAAGCAAGGGCTGTCGTGGGGGTCACCGCTTGGGACCAGGCTGGGGACTGGCTCCCACTTACCCTTGTCCGCCAGTGACAGGGAACTGTTGAAGTAACTCTCCTCTACCACCCAGGCTGCATCATTGGCCTTGTGGGAGACCCCGCAGGAGCCTGTGCAGGTGACCCGGATGGCTGCAAAGAGGAAGTCTGTGTGAGCCCCAACCAACCGGTGGCCCAGTCCCCTGCTTACTGCCAGCACAGGAATTAGAGCAGGAACAGGGTCAGGTGCACCTGGGGCCAAGCAGCCCCACCTGGGCAGGGTCCTGGGAAGGCCAGTGAGTAAGCAGCAGCCTGTGCCTCGTCAGAAGACACCTCCTGCCATAAGTCTTGGGGGTCTCCAAGGGAGCTAAGCTGGCAAGGGGCCTGACCAGCACAAAACGATGTCTGCCCTGCAGTCCAGAACAGGAGGGCCCCAACACTCATCCAGATGACGCCTGGGTCACCCCCAAAATTGATAACCTTGGCTCCCAGCCAGACCTGTGAAAGTCCAGCTGCCTACAGGGAATGCTCGGGACCTGTCAAGGGACACATCTTGCTGCCTCGCAGACGAGTCAGGCAGGCAGGGAAGCACACCTCCACGTCCAGGAAGCTAACTGCCAGCCATCATGCTACAGGAATGTGGCCAGACCCGCCTGGGCAGACACAGTGTTCCACAGTCCACACACCGTTGGGTAGGGCCCCTACTTCCTGGGCCAGCACTGCCCAGCGGGGCTAACTTTCTGCATCAGGAGATGGCTTGGTCCTCTCTGGCTTCCCCTGTGGGAGTGCCTAGACCAGGAACTGCTTGAGGCAGGAAAAATTCCTCAGCCCAACAGATGTGTGTCCAGAACCATCATGGTCAGAAGATCATGGCTGGACAAGCAGGTCCAGCAGAAGTGGTCACAAGGGAGGACAGACAGCAGAAGCACACACAGCACAAGACCCAGGTGGGCAGGGGTTGAGGGGAGCCCATGGCAGTTCACCTGCAGCTCCAGCCCCTCTTCTCCCCGCAGAGTTCAATCAGGGCCAAAGACAGCCACCTCCCTACCTGGTCCTTGTGGGGGTCACACGAGGGGAAGTGACTCAGACTCTGACACCTGCTGAGGGAGCAGACAGGGAGGAGCACCAGTGTCTGGAGCACCTGGGGTCAGCCATACCTTCCTTAGCTGTGGCCCAGGCCTTCTGCTGGCCACCCAGAGCAACAGACTTCCTCTCAGCCCTTGGCTCAGTCACAGCCCATGTGGCTCTCCATATGCATCTGGCCCTACCTGTTGGCAGCTGCCAGGCCCAGTCCCCCATCCCTGAGGGTGGCCCTTGCTTCCTGCTGCATGCCCTCTACTCCCTGGGCACCCCCAGAGCCTGGCCTCAGCCCCCATTCCAGCCCAGCCTCCCCACCCAACCTGGGTGTTTTTTGTTGTTGTTTTTTTTAAGACAGGTCTCTCTCCCGATGCCCAGACTAGTGTGCAGTGGCATGATCTTGGCTCACTGTAGCCTCAACCTCCTGGGCTCAAGCGATCCACCCACCTCAGCCCCCTAAGTAGCTGGGACTACAGGCACATGCCACCATACCTGTCTATTTTTTTGTGTTTTTTTGTTTTTGCTTTTTTAAGACAGGGTTTCCCCTGTTGGCCAGGCTGGTCTCAAACTCCTGACTTCAGGTGATCGACCTGCCTCAGCCTCCCAAACTGCTGAAAGTACAGGTGTGAGTCACCATACCCGGCTTGGCCCTGATTTTGAATCCATGTATTTAGCCAGGCCCTCCTAGGGTCAGACCCCAAACTTCTCATGCCGGAAACTGAGAACAGTAGTGATTCTCCTGTGGAGCAGCCGCCAGCCCAGGAGCAGCACACGGGCGTGAGCAGGCACAGAGGACGCCCAGAGGACTGGAAATGTTGCATGCGTTTCACACTCCCGAAGGAACTGCACATCCCCTCAAATCCCGCACGTACTGAGACCGGCCAGGCTCAGTGGCTCATGCCTGAAATCCTAGCACTCTGGGAGACTGAGGCGGGTGGATCATTTGAGGTCAGGAGTTCGAGACCACCCTGGCCAACATGGTGTGAAACCTCATCTCTACTAAAATTACAAAAATCAGCTGGGCATGGTGGCGCACGCCTGTAATCCCAGCTACTTGGAAAGCTGAGTCATGAGAATCACTTGAACTCGGGAGGCAGAGGTTGCAGTGAGCCAAGAACACACAACTGCACTTTAGCCTGGGTGACAAAACAAGACTTCATCTCAAAAAAAAAAAAAAAAAAAACAGAGGATGGTGGAAAGGGGGCAGTGGTCCCCAGACTAACCCGGATGCCAGCCAAGTGCCCTCAAGTGAGCCCAGTTGGTGGCACACAGCTGAAGTTTCACCCTGCCCCCACTGTCCAGATTCCTAACCCACAATGCTATGAGTGCTAATAAAATGGTTGTGTTGACTGTTTAGGAGTGGTGTGTGACTTGGGGTGACCGCTACTTTTACGGAGTAGTGGATAACTGGAACAGATGTCCAACCTCACTAGAAATTAGGGAAAAACCAAATGATCTACCATTTCAGTCCATCAGATTGACACATATTAAATGCCTCAATACAACTGGGCATAGGGGCTCGCGCCTGTAATCCCAACACTTTGGGTGGCCAAGGCAGGTGGAATGCTTGAGGCCAGGAGTGTGAGAGCAGCCTAGGTAACATGGGGAAACCTTGTCTCTACCAAAACTACAAAAGATTAGCTAGGTGTGGTGGCATGTGCCTGTGGTCCAGC